CGATCAACATATTTTTTACAGAAATTTATTTTATATATAAAAGGTACATAAAACTCATTTTCTCTGAAATACATCTCGGGAAAAATCAATAAGGACTCCTTTTGTACAGAAGAAACAATAATGAATTAGATTACGTCAAAAAATTGAATTAAAATTAAATGCACTAATGTAGAAAAACATTTTCAAAATCTTTGGTATCAAAGGCCCTTTTTGGAATTATCTTTCCTGTTACATGTACCCGGGACTCAAAAACTTTGGCAAGTCTCCGCATACGTCACCATACTATGTATATTTATAATTACTGGCCACTGAATTGAACAAATATAAAAGAGGAAAACTAGAAACTCACACTATTTTTTCAATATTTATAAACACACAATGAGATAATGTATTATTGAAACGCACAAATTAGTGTGCCGAAATTTCAACTATCAAAACAGACTCGGTTGATTAACCTGAAAGTATAAATAATTAACCTAAACGTTTCTCGTCATACCCACTGGTACCTATTGTTTACGAATTATTATGTAACATAATCCAAGACGTCTGTTGTTCTTTTCCTTTTCCATCGGTCACACCGTGACCGTGATCATGCCATGTGTTCGAATTCATTGTTTACAAACGGTGCTAGGCCAAATCGTTCAAGAATAAATTCGATAAAACCGGAAGTAAAAGTATTTTTTCTCTATATACGTCACATTTCACATGGTGTGGAGGACCCTTAAAATGTAACAAAATAAAAAACAAAATTTCAACTAAAGAAAGTGAAAAGGGCAAGAAAGAAGGACTAGATCTTGGTAATCTATTTCTATCTAGTTGCAAATATTTGAGGACATATGCTGTGCAGATGTATAGATACAGAATATAGAATAAATAAAGAATTGGATACACTGTAAACCTAAATGAAAGACAATTAATTCAGATAATCATGTAGAATTGACAATTATCATTACTGATTTTAAGAATAAAGATTTTCTTCTTTTCACAATTATTAGTTTGGTTAAATTATTAATTAATATTTTGTAAACTTTTTTAAAACAATAGTTTGAACCTATTTAGATCGTAAATGTTAAAAAGAACGAAGTACTAAAATATAAAGAATTGTTAACTTTTATGATGTTCAACGTTTAACTTTTCCACAACCACTTATGTAAATCTGTACACATTTCTTTTAAATTCTTTTCTTGGACATCATGGTGAAAAAAGGGCAACATATATCAGTTTAGAAAATTCTGCACAACTACACGAAGAAATAAACAATGTTCCACCAAAAAGTCATTTTGTCATTTCAAGTTTATAGACGTAAAGTGTGTCATATTGTCATATTTATGGAAAATAATGGTAATCGTGTAGTAATTTCAGTTTATTATAATTTGTAATATGACAAAAGAAACAAACAGAACGGAAAAAGGAACAAAATGGGACGAAACAAAAATTAAAAACAAACAAAGAATACATGGTATTTCATTTAGAATTTAGCAAGGTATTGTGTAAAATATCTATAATAATTTATGTCCCAATAATGGCTATATAAACTTTTCTACTTTCCATATTTAATAAACACTTTCAATTTGTACACAACAATTTAACTGTCACAAAGATAGGGGTATGTATCACTTTATATATACTTAATTGATCATCATATGTATCGCTATTTGCATTTGACAAAAAACTTTAACAATTACATTACATATCACAAAATCATGTTTAGATATGGAAAAATCTATATGTTTACCAAGATGCTGTACAATAATTAATTTTACAAATATGTATTATACTAGCACGTAGGAGCTAAGTTTATATGATTTTTAATTTTAATACATTAATATGTATTATGTGCTCTTAAATGCGGGCAATAATGAACAACTCAGTTCGTATGTACATGTACCTGAAGCACATTTGCAGCTTTGTTCTGCAGCCATTAAAATGATAAAGCGAGTGTTTGTGAATAGAGCATTTATTACATTACAAATGCCAAATAAAATGAAAAATTTTACAATTTCAGAATGCAGCAGAAGGTGGGGTGCAAAAAATATCCCACACCTTCAACACAAGAAAATCAGTAATCTGAACAATAATAAAAATGTGCATGGAGGTTTGAAGGGGGGTGGAGGAGGGTAAAATTTTAAAACCACGTTTTTTGGAGCCAAGCGGAATTATGAATATGGGTTAGGCTAATAGCCGTAAATAGAGGGCGCTTGGAAACTATAACCCGGAAAAACCCCTCAATACCCAAACATTCATACACATTATTAGTAAATCAAAATACAAAAACTTTGAGCATTTAGATCCCATAAATTCCTTTATATACATAAATACACTTATGTGCTCTTAAATGCGGGCAATAATGAACAACTCAGTTCGTATGTATATGTACCTGAAGCACATTTGCAGCTTTGTTCTGCAGCCATTAAAATGATAAAGCGAGTGTTTGTGAATAGAGCATTTATTACATTACAAATGCCAAATAAAATGAAAAATTTTACAATTTCAGAATGCAGCAGAAGGTGGGGTGCAAAAAATATCCCACAAGAGGGACAATGAACTTATAGAGAAGGGTCCCTCGCCCCACCCAAAAATGTGCTTCAGTTCAACATGAGTATGATGATAAACAAATAAATTGATATAGGGATCAATGGAATACTTAAGAGGAATAGTAATCGATTCACATTCAAAAATTTTATATAAAGTTTTGTCATCTTGTATTATACACATACTCATCACACTAATTAAATATTACTGTTAAGTTATAGACCATAATGCATAGAAACGAAATTTATGTTCTTACACAAATAATCCTCTGTTTAAATTCCCCTTGTTTTATCCTGCCCATGAGGAACATAGCCTTGTCCGAACATTAACCAAATATAAATATATGCGTATACATGTATATTGTCTGTTAAACGATAACACAAAATCAAGTAATAGTAATCAGCATGTCCCGCTATATATAATGCACTAGACGGATAATGGAAATGATCCATATAAGAAATTCTAACATATAAAACACACTAGGCTTAGTAAGATATAGTTCCACCATCCACTCACAGGTTGAAAGTAATTAACATATGTACATAATCATTACATATCTTGTAACAGAAAAAATGACATGAAACATTAACAATCCTCTATATCAAAAATCTTGAGTGCCGCCTCAGACAGTCACCCAAATCTAATAAATTTACCGTACATGTTAATGTAGCTATAAATTAAGACAATCAAACATGTTGCAGTGTAACTCTCTCATTCATGATAAAAAATATGACACCATGAAATTAACCTAAAACATCATACATATGCCAAATTATGAGATTATTGAATTAAAAATTTATTACCTGGAAAGGAATGCAATGAAAAGAGATGAAAAATGCTTCAAACAGAATCCCCCTTCCTTCAAAATACAATCAAGTGACCAAAAATAAAGGATACCGCCTCAGACAGTTATCCTTTATATTTGGAGCTTCTAACCTCTTCACAAAAACATGTACACACTAAAATGTTAGAAACATTGATACCCTAATGTATCTCTTAAATGACTCTGAGTGCCATCGTCCCATGACTCTTATTTGTGAATCTGAAAAACCCTGTAAATGTGCCTGGGTTGCTGCTCCAATCCTGAAGCTGTGTGCTTTAAATGTGTTAGAATCAAGCTTGGAAAATTTTAGTGCTGACCTCAAAACATCACAAAATTCTGTACGCGAGATGGGTCGTCCTGATCTGTAGCAAAATAGGGCTCCTTCTTCTGCACCTCGCACCTCCAAATAATTTCTCATAGCTTGCACCGGACAAAAGCTGCATTTGGGTTGGGGATTTATTTCCAGCTGGACAGGTTTTTTACCTAAATTATGTTTGAAGTTGATCATTGTAACAACCATGCGTACTTGTTTTTGGTCACGCCTGAAAGAAACATTTCTTCGAAGCAACAGGTTTGGATTTGAGCCAGAACGAACTGTGATTTCTCCCACTCTTAGAAAAGCATAAAATGCTAAAAGAAACATCGCCATGTACAAATATTCTTGGTACTTAGAATTGGCTACATGTGGTATTGCCATCAGGAGCTTCCCGAGAATATCCAAAGTAATTGGTTGTCGGATATCTGAAGAATTGACCAGCCGTTTTGCCCCACTTAACATTTTCTTGATCAAGAAATGATTTGAGAGATCTGGGGCATTTGTCATGTTGAAATAGTAAGCCAATGCTGCCAGGTAAGTTGATATTGAGCTTGGTGCTAATACAAAAACTTTGAGCATTTAGATCCCATAAATTCCTTTATATACATAAATACACATTATTTGTAACAAGCTACAGGACTTTCATACATGTTTCATCTAAACTTATCTTTTATTCGCTATCTGCAAGACAGATCGCATGTGTGCGTCATGTTTCTCTAAACTAAATTATTTAATCAGTACCAATATTTAAGAGCACATATTATTTAGTTTCCTGGTTTTCTAACATTGTGTTGTCAATTATAATCTTGTACTCTCGCAAGTAGCTTCAAAACATTCGGTTACTTTTCTTCTAAGAACGGCAATCCAAGCATCTCGCCTTTTTCGATCTTTTATCAACAGCCGTTGTTCAGATGTAATTGTTTTTATGTATATTCCATAGAAATCTGGAAAAGCAATAACGCATATCAACGAAAAACCTGTAATTTAAAGAGCATATTTGAATATCGACAATCCTAGTTTAAATCCACCATTTGCATTTACTGATTATGCTAGAAATTTCAGCAAAATGAATTACAATGTGATGTTATCTAAAAGAAAAAAAAATGGCGGGTTATATTTCAACTCTGAGAAATTCCGTTTAAAAGTTCGATAGGTCGGCGAATTGTTGATTAAGAAAATTAAATTGCAACTGTTATTTCACAATATTTTTACATGTACATGTAAGATAAACCTTACCTTGAGCATTGAATCCATTAATGCGGACCATTTCTGAAATGGATATTCTTTTGTTACGCTTTTTACCCCATTCCAAAGCAAATATTGGATGATTTACAATAGATATTTTCTTTTTCCTAAATCTGCCATTGCGGTTGTACAAGAAGAAATATTCTGTAAAAAAAATTAAAGATAGTCAACTTTCAAAATGTTATAACAATTTTTTCTTGAAAGCTGGACAAATATACAATTGTAACACTTACCACCGGAACAGCTTTCTACTTCTCGTTCCATTTTGTTTGAATGCAAGGTATTGGTATTGAAGTTCATAACCGATACAAACTTTTCCAAGATAGCTTCAATGTTTTCTAGAATGTTCTCTGCAAGATATTTTCCCACTTTTTCCACTGAGTACCTCAGTTTTAGCTCTAAAGACTTGTTGGGATGAATAATTACACTAAGATTTGTTTCATAGCTTGAATCTTGTTCCACGCCAAATTTGGATAATTGAACTTGAGAAGTGTTGAAAACACTCCAAAGTGTCAAATCTTCCATTACAATTGAATGCACGCCATGAATATCTTCTACGAAGGCTGGTAATTCTTTCATAAGTTTGAGAGGAAAGAGACTTTTGGACATTCCTTGAGCAATAATATTTTTATTTTCCTTTAGTAAGTTATGGAAAGATGAATTTCGGGTAATCATATCTGTTGAAATAATGGGAATGTAATTCACGCACAAAACAGGTCTTTCCCGGAATTCTGGGAGATGCATTCTGGTATCTGCTGCTGTGATTACACATGTTCTATGGCAATTTAATTGTTTTTGTATGGCTAGTTGAAAAGCAGTACAAAACAAGGTGAACAGCGTACTTTGACTTTTCGTAGACATCTCTTCAATCTTTTGTAACTGATCCACATTCAAGTGTCTTGTGATGACTGCACTCGTACTTGCGGGACTTGTCTCCTCCACTTTTTGAATCCTTTGGAAACTCTGTGATTCTCGACATTTGGAAAGTTCCATGTTCCAGTAAGATTTAAGTTCGTCCATTTGCTCATTCAACATCCCTTCCATTGCCAAGGCTGGATCAACTGGCTGATGGGAAAACTTATCTGGAGCATACTGATGTAATATGTATTGAGTCATGAAATATTGAAGATCTTTTACAATAGCTGCCACACATCCGTTATCGAAGCAGCAGTGATTTATTAACAATCTAAGAATTCCAAATGCAGAGGACTTCCAAAATACAGCTTTTATTGGAATGTCTACGTATGGATCGAATTTTGAAATACTGTCAGACGCCTTTTTAAAATCCTCTTTCGAAGAAACTGTAATAAAATGGAAGGTAACGTCCTCAATGTCAATTATGACCTTTTGTATGTTAGCACGCTTCTTACCCTCTTCTGTCTCTTGAAGCAATGTTCTCAATTCTGGGTTGATTGAAATAAGATTCAAGAGAGAGCCTTTCCATATTTCTGCACTATTAAATTGCGATGAAACATGTAAATCCAACGTAATCGTTAAATGAGGGTTATCTGGGTCCTTTTTTCGCAAGTCTAAATAGTGTTGCTCCAAGAAGGAGGGACTTTCAGAAACGAAATTATCGTTATCGGTCGTGTCCTCCTCAGCTATTTTCGACATGAAGTATTCAGCTATATCACGGACAGCACTTTTACCTGCCATAAGATAAACAACGGGTAATCGGACATGACTGGATGCATATAGGTAGTTGATAAGTTCTATTGCTTTCTGAGAATCTAATCCAAAATCTAGAAGAATTGATGTTTCTTTAATATCTGTGGGTTCAACTGCCAAAACTGATGCTGAGGCATACCTGACAGAGTCAATCCACGATTGAAGCAATTGGTCTTTATTTTGAAATGATTCATTACTGCCAGTGTTTGTGTTCTGAACGTCAATTTTAAGGCGATTTTGCCTCTCTTTTCGTAACTTCTCATCTTGTCTCTCTACTCGAGATATATCCATGCTTGCAAACATGAACTGAACTCTGTTTGTAATTAACGCATGGTTTAAGGCAACCAATATTTTTTCTTTAGGCAAAGCATGAAGACCGCCCATTGCATTTATTGACTGAACATCTTGATCAGCTCCCATTCCAACTGAAAGCAGACCCCAGTTGATAACCTGCGCTGCTTTACCTTTTGATCTTCTATAGTACGCAAATGCATCCATAAAGGCATTCGCTGCTGCATAATTAGTTTGTCCCTTGTTTCCAAAAAGTGATGCAATACTAGAATGCATGACAAAATAATCTAAATCAATGTCTTTTGTCATTAAGTGCAAATTCCAAGTACCTAGTATTTTTGGAATCAGTGGAATATCAAAGCTTTCGTTTGTGAGCCTTGTTACAGGTAAATCTTTGAGAACGCCTGCGCCTTGAAAAACTCCACGAATCCGTGTGCTACCTAGTTGACGCAAAAGACCCGAGAAAACACGTTCTAAATCTTTTATCTCTGTAATGTCAGCTTTTACGTGCACAATTACCGTATTTTGAATATTTTTCATGTTCTCTAGTCGATTCTTCTCTAATGTAGATGGTGTCCTTCTGGAAAGACTAATTACCACTTTTGCGCCTCGAGAGGCTAAAAATTTTGTTACTTCCCAACCTAGACCAGAAAGTCCACCTATGACAATGTATGCCGAGTCCGGTCTTATCAAGAACTTATTTGGTACTTCTACTTCTGTAGTTCCATTCCAAGAATGTAAGTTTAAAATGCATTCTAAACTTGGAGGGGTTATTTCGGCGAAAAAATCTTTATTGTCAAGCATTAATCGTTTTGCTTGCAGAAACCTCTTTTGCATTTTCGTTTGCTCGAATGCTTCATATACATCAATAGCACAAGATTCTATATATGGATAGTGAGCTTGATTATTCAAAATTGTGGACAATGGCAGAAGACCTTTAATGCTCAGCAATTGTTTCATGTTCGGAAACCAGAACACAATAGCTTCAAAAGAACACGCAATTTGATTTGTGAGCAAGACAAGGCAAGTCGTTGATGGGTTTTGTGTGTCTTTTTTAGCATTGAATTCTGCAGCAAAGACTGAACAATGTCTTTTTCGTAACATCATTTGTAACAGTTTTGTGACGTTTTCGAATTGCTTGTCAAATAATATCTGTACATTATTCTTCTTTCCTATTTTTTCTGCCAAACACATTGCTATTACAGTATTGGAAATCATTCCAATCCTGTAAAATGGTAAGTCCGATAATTCACATGTACATAACTTGTTTACTTCCACGGTGCTAGTCACATTGACAAGGCAACAGCCTACAGCACGCGTCCCATTTTTCATCAATTGTCCCGTAAATTCGCAAGCCATTACATCAAGACCCGTGTCATGATTAGAACTCCAGTACTTTCCAACTGGAATAGTTTTTGGAGGTGGAAATAGGAAATTTTTTGAACACAGCAGTACTTCATGAATCAAAACAGTACAATTCTCCCTTGCAAAATTGGATTTTTCTAGGTTTGGGACTTTGAATAATGTTTCATTATCTCTAGCAGACCTTGCTCGCACAGAAAAATTCTTTTCTCTGTTTGAATCAATTTTCTTGACAACACTTTCAAAAGCGATGAGAGGCATATTTTGAAGCTTTTTAGTGAGGACTCCATTTGATGTTATGATATATTCCCGAGGTAGATTTTTATCTTTGTCATTATTCAAAGCATTGGTAATGGACAAAAGTGAATCCTGGAGGTCCGACAACTGGCCATGTAGATCTATCATTATCAGTTTAAAGTCGGGGCATTCCCTCTGAAATGATCGACCCATTCCCCAAAGTTCCGATCCAAAAACACCAAAGACATCTCTTTCCTCGTCACCCTGTGTCCATTCTGTAATAATGTATAAGCTTGTGTTTTTCGTATCTACCTCCTGAAGCACCCTCAGGAGAAGGTGGGTGGACTTCTTAACAGTCTCTAACACATTATTTCCATTCAGATAACCGTCTGCATTGATAAAACCAGGAATGAGGTAAAGATTAGAATGCCGTTTTTCCTTCAATAATGACAGAAAAGCCATTCTTTCCTCCTCGTGAGATAGATTGACAGTCTCTAATTTGGAGCAAGACCTACACAAAGCCTTTCTAGCCTCCCTAAGAACCTCGTCTTTCCAAGAAAAAACAAAACTTGGAATAGAGTAAGAATTTTCACTAACTGGAAGAATGGTCTTCTGCCATGCTTCTTCAAAAAAATATTTCTGAAAATCACCATCCTCTGAAATTATTTTCATTTCGAAACTTTCCATTTCTGCTACAACGATTCCATTCTCACGCAAAAGCAATGTGTTAAATATTAATTTTGAATTCTGATTTAACATGAATCTTGAAAAGCAGGTCATCTTTGCTACAGGGGCTTGTCTGACCCTAAACATCTTCACTCCTGTGGGAAGAATGCGCCATCCTTTTGAAACCCCTGATAACATATTTGGATTAAAAGATGTCTGAAACATGCCATCGATGATTACAGGATGGAAACAAGTTCTTGGCAATTCCATCTGAACATTTTTTGTTAAGTTTATTTCAGAGAGACTGTCGTTCATCGATGTTTGGAAATTTGATACTATCCGGAATGTAGGGCCATGCTTAAATCCTAAGGTATTCAGAATTTTGTAGATGTCTATATTTGGCTGCTGTTTTCCGAGGGTCATTTCAAATCCTGCAACGTCAAATATCGTTGAATGCGTTTTCTCTACATGTTGTGCATACCCATTAGCTAATATTCGGGAACCTGGTGATTCTCTCACTTTGAAATCGATTCTCTGTGGCGAAACAAAATCAGTTTCGATAAGAAGAGACTTTTCCTCGTTCATGGTGATTTCAAGAGGTTTCAAAATTTCCCATGAAACTTCTAGGTTTTCTATATCACCAGTCAATAATATTCTCCCTATTTCAAGTGCTGCCTCTCCATACAGGGCGCCAGGTATAATGATTTTGTTTTCTACAGCATGTTCATATACGAAGGGCGTATTCGATTTTGAGATAAGAATTCTAAATTCTCCGTTCGTTCCTGGTACAGGACGAATAATTCTTCCAGCATTCCCCTCTAGACTGTTTTCTTGTGTCCATCTTTTGACCACTTCAGATTCAAGACAGCAGTCATGCTTGCTAAGAATATATCGTGGGAATTTCGAGAGACGGCCATTTACCTCTGTGAGATTTTCCCACGAAGGGTTTATTCCTTTTTCAAACAATGTATTCAGCGAGCTCAAATACGTCTTTGTTTCCGATGATTTGTTGATTGAAGGTAAGACCGCGATATCTGTGTTAGGAAACACCGTTGACTGATGTGCCATGAATACAGGCCGGGGACCGATTTCTAAAAATATAACATTCTCTAATTCATCTTTGACTAATCTCAGTGCTTGCATAAATTTTACAGGTTTCAAAACATTTAATGCCCAGTATGCTGAGGATGCAAATTCATTTTTCATCTCCATTCCTGTGACAGTTGAGAAGAAACGAACATGTGGCAGTTTGGGATGTAGAGTTTTTAGCATATCAGAGAGACGCTCACTCGCTTCTTTGGCATGATGGCTGTGGTATGCGCATGATGTTTTGAGTGGAATAAACACAGCCTCATCTTTCAATCTAGTTTTAATTTTTTTTAATGCTTCTGTATCACCAGATACTGTACATGACTCGTTGCTATTGTAAACAGCAATATTGGCTTTACATTTGAAATTGCTAAGAATCTCGGTACAAGCTTGACTTACATCTTCGGTTGAGCAATTACGAATGACCATCATTGAACCAGTTTTACAAGCTGATAATGCCAGAGAACGGTTATAAATAACTGTTACGGCATCTTCAAGAGAAAGTGAACCACATTCGTACGCTGCAGCTACTTCCCCTACCGATTGTCCTACGATCGCCGTTGGCTGAATTCCTACGTGTCTCCAAGATGCAGCTAGAGCGACCTGAATTGTAAAAATTGCTAAATGGGCTTTCAAGGGATCTTCATAAACCTCCTCTTTGTTTTTGATGGTTTCGTACATTGATATGTTTGCATTTAGGTTTTTTAAATACATGTCAATTTCAAGAACTTGCTTTCTGAACACGGGATTTATCGTAATAAATTCTGCACACATTCCTTTCCAAGTTGTTCCTACCCCACAGAAAACAAATACTACTTTGGATGACTGGAAATGTGAAACAGAAACGCTTTGATCGCTGTCGTTTAAAAATGTTTTCAACTGATTGTCGAGGTTGCCGATCGAGTCTGTGACAAACATTCTGCGATATTTGAAGTGCTCCCTACGGAGTACAGATGTATATGATAAATCTTCCAACTTCATTCCATTTAAATTTTGTCTCAAGTCTTCAGTTAAATCTTGCACTGACTTTTTCGAAATTGCTGACAAAACAACGGCTTTATAGTTTGGAAATAGAACATCTGTCATAGTAACTTTGTGTTTATTTGGTAGAGAGCTAAGATTTGGTGCACTGCATACTATTGCGTGTGAATTTGTGCCACCAAATCCGAAGGAATTGATTGATGCTAATCGGCGACCATGAGTGTCGCACTTCCATTCTCTACTATCTTGACTGACTACGAATCCATATTTTTGAAATGGGATGTTTTTGTTAAGTGGCTCTGCGTGCAATGATGGCACAAATTTTCCATATTTCATCATCAAAAGAACTTTGATGAGTCCCGCCACTCCCGCAGCAGATTCAAGATGCCCTATGTTAGTCTTTACAGATCCAATTCTTAGGCTGTGATTATTGCGATGGTTACTAAAAAAGTTCCCCAAAGCATTTACTTCTATTGGATCACCCACGGGGGTTCCAGTACCTATAAACAAATTTTAGTGGAAGTTAAAGTACAGATTGTGTTTTGTTTTTTTTCAAAGAATTTGCTTCTTTTCGATAAATACTTTTGCAATTCGATTTGGCATCTCCGCCATAACAAAAACTTGAATCTGAATTCTGATGTCATATAAAATTTAAATGAATTGAAAATAAATATAAGATGACTTGTTATATGAAATTTTAATAATTCTGTCAGATGAATTAAATAAGATTCCAGTTTTTAAGAAAAATATATTAAGAACTCATATTCTTTTCATGTATCATTTTCCACGTTAAAATTAGTCTTTGTCCTGGTTTTCTTAAGAGTAAGTTTTTCAAAGATATTATTATATTTTATGCATAACTTGAATTTCCTTTTCTGGTACGATTTCTGCCAATACTCCTCTGACTTGAAACAGGATAAAAAATTAAGGTTGTATTCCAGTTGACTCACGGTGGATTTTTTGAAGTCCTGATTATTCTTGCCCGTAACTGAACACTCTTTTCTGTGCGAGTATGTGTGGGATATATGTTACTTAATCTTTAAATACTGTGTTTGTTTGTTCGTTGATTATAGTCTCTCTCAAGGTTGTTTCCCAATATTATACCCAAATGAGTTAAGACTACGTAAAGAGAGGTTTCTATGCTAAAAATCTAGTAAAACCCATAATGGTTATATCTACCACTCAGAAAAATTCAAGACTTGTTTTCTAAAACATTCTTGGTACCCACTATATGCGATTGCTAGTTTACATTATGACGTCATTTTATGACGTTATCGACCCTGACTACACAAGTTAAATAAAAAAATGAAAAAAGAATCGCTTCGGTGCAAGGGCATACCTTACTTTGTTTTACAGAAACAAAGTATAAATAGACGCAGGATATTCCAAGGATACAAAATATTGCTGCACAAATGTCGACACCGTAATTGCTGAGTTACAATTTCTAGAGTCTTAAATTGAAATAGGGTAAAATTCACAGTCCAGTGTAAGTTTCCAAAATTTTTTATCAATTGTAAAAGTGCATAGGATTTGTGCAGCAATTTTATTAATCTTTATAATATTCTCCTTAATACTATACATTATTTATTTTAAATTACGCCCATGTTGTTTTGTTAATGTGTTTTATTACCTTGAATGGGAAAGAACAATGGCATCATAATATGACGTCATAATATGTACTAGCAATAATATGCTGTGGGCAATGAGTATGAATAAGGAAATCAATTCAAACTTTCTTTGTATAGGAAATATACAATTTATACATTTTTATTAGCTTATTTGCATAGAAATCCCCATATTTAGCTTAACTCAATTGCGTATTTAGAAACACCAACACTTGAGGCTAGAAAGCTGCAAATTCAGACCTACACTTGGTACTCAGGACTATTGAGCAGTTAGGGATGGGTTTTTTCCGTGCCAACAACCACTACAAAACAGGATTTCCAACTCCCACAGTGGGATTATTTTAAATATAGTTGCAACTAGTTAAAGACGCCCATAAGAAAAACACCTTAAAATTTTCCGAGAAAATAACTTATGTGTTGATATTTTTAAGATAAAAAGTTTTGTTTACCGGGAAATGTTCTATCTGCATATATATGTTTAAGACCTCCACCAAGTTTGGCCAAAGCGACTTCACTTGCATCGGCTCTTTGTCACGTTACATTTTTTAAATTACAGAAGATATTTACGACTACGTTGATAGCAAAAGTTCAACGATGAACGGATTTTTCACTATGAAATTGACTGTTTTTATGACTAATTCCCTCATTTGAAGAGTGCTGGGAGCAACTTTCCCATGTCCGGGAATTACAAATTACATTGAATTTACATTATGAAATGTAGCTGTCTATCTGATGAGCTTACTACATTGACATTATACACATTGAAAAAATGTTAAAATACGGCAAAAGCTACGGCACACAACTAGCTTTCAACACCTTTCAAATTAGTAGGAAGAGGCAAATTCAAGGAAGTGTTGCCCCCGCTTTCGGTGTCTTTGTGGCGATATGTCACTTTTTATGGCATATTGTGTCAAATATGAACGCCCTCTACATGCCATTCCTAAGTTATAACCAAAGTTGATTTTTTAATAAGTCAATCGTGAAGGTCCAGGGGTCAGAAATCATAACATACTCGGATATATCTTGTTACAGGTAATGCACTTGTCAATTATGAAAGCCCTTTGTCTTCTCAATCTATTATCAATTATAAAGAAAAATTTACATTTTTGAAAAGTAGGTCAAACATCAAGGTCAAGGTCATGGGGTAAAAAATCAGAATATATTTAGAAAGGTCTTTTAAAAGGCAATATCTCTTCTCATTTAAAAGTTATGACCAAGGTTTTTGAAAAGTAGGACACATTTCAAGGTCAAGGTCATGATGTAAAAATCATAGTGTATATAAAAAGGTCCTATCTCTCCTCATCCAAACGTTATGGCCAATTTTAAGTAATGTTTATTTTTAAGTATTTAAAACTTCAAGGTATAGGTCACAGGGTCAGAAATCATACTGCATTTATAAAGAATTTGTCACACGCATTATGCAGTTTTAATATGAAAGCATAATCCTTTCTCATTCAAAATTTATGACCGAGGTTAAAGTTCAGAAAAGTAAGTCAAACTTCAAGGTCGAGGTCATGAGGTCAAAAATAATTGTTAAATTAAAAAGGTCTTTAAAGAGTAATTTACATGTATAATATGAGGACCTTATCTCTTCTCTCCCAAATATTATGGCCAATTCAAAGTAATGTTAAAGTTTTTTATAAGGAGGTCAGGGTCAGGGCCATGGGGAAAAATACAAAGTGTATTAAGAAAAGTCTTATCACAAGTAATATACACGTGAAATGAAGGATATGGAGATAACGAAGAGTATTCAGTATCAAAGTCCATAAAACAATACAAAATAGAGACAAAGGAAACACGATCCTCCAAAACATCAGAGGTTGGATCAGGTGCCATGGAGGAGTGAGCATCCCCTGCTGACCGGTCAAACCCACCGTGTGCTCCTTGTCATAATTGGGAAATAACGGAAAACCCGTCGTCAATTCAGTGTATAACTAATGGACAAACAATAAGTATGAAAAACGTCAGCCAGCATTTGACTCAATGATAAATTGTATTTGCTGACAAGGTCATGATATCGACCATAGAATTTGCGAAATGATGACTTTAAACGAGACTGCTGATAGTCTGGTTTCATCGACTTGTTTGTCAATAATTTACCCCTTTTTAGAAATTGTTCATACGTAGAGCATGTCGAATCAACTGAGATATATAAACTACGTTTGCAGGTGATGAAGGTATATTGCTGCATACGTAACGGAAGTTGACGACATAAAAGTTAAAAGTCATAACGTTTATCATAAAGCTTGGTTGTTAGATTACCATTAGTTTCTTTTGAAATTAAATATCCAAGTATGAAACAGATGTGTCAGACTCTGTGGTATCTTTTATCTCAAGCTCCCTGGGATATTTGTATACCGTATCGACACAGGAACGGAAATTACCATTGTTAATTGACAATACGCCGTCAATATATCTAAATGTCGAGTTGAAGGCCACAGTGTTTTCTTCTTTTCACTTACAAGATTTTGCATAAATTCTGCTTCATATGAATACAAAAAGAAGTCTTCTTATAACGGAGCGAAATTGGTACCCATGAGAATTCCAATAGATTTTTGGAAGACCTGGTCTCCAAAAAACCACATAGATATTGTCAATCAGAAACTCGTGTGTGCAATCAGAAAGTGTTTTAACAAAATAATTTTGAATGACCAATGACGAGGTAAGTAAATTTACGAGTTCCATTTTTATGTTGTCAATGATATCAAAAACCTGGAATTTAATTTATCGTGGAGAATGGAATGGTTGTGTATAAAGTTGAAAGTCGTAAGTTTTTAAGCTGTTGATTTTGGTAAAAAAAATTATTTCAAATTGTCCAAAAGTTCTTTGGAATTTTTGAGTATCGACATCTGATTCACACCACTTCTTGAATATATTGTTGCACAGTACTCTTGAAGTTTTTCCTTCATTACTGTCAATATCTTAGTGAGGAGTAGAGAAAGAGGGTTGGTTGAACCTTCACTCGAACCCGCAATGTATCTTTGTTTGTAAGGATTCTTATGAAGTTTCGGAATCCAATATCGGAAGCCCATTTAGGACCTATCGAAAAATATTTTTGAATCCGATATAACGAATTGTCAAATTTGTTATAACGAATTTAATTCGTTATAACAATTTCTTTGAAAACGTTATAATGAATTTAAAGGCCGAGATTTTTAACCGTACGGTTTTCTCAGGTAAGGGGAGGGACTAAATTTTACCTGCTTGGCACCCCGAGGCATTGACGGTCGTGCAGACCGTGGGAAGCGCTAATCCTTATACACAAACAGTATACACAGGAAGTCCATGAGTATTACCTGTACAGCCTGTCTGGCCTACCGTATATACTCGCCTATAAGTCGGTATTTTGGGAGTTAAATTTTGGTCCCAAACTCTATGTCCGACTTATAGGCGAGTCATAAGGAGACATTTTTTCTGGACTGTGAAATGTAGCATTTTATGTATATTTCTACGGACTATTGAAAAACAAAGTCTGGATTACATATAAACATATAAGTATTCAAAGATGATACATAAATTACAAATATTTTCTTACTTTAATGGTTTTATTTTTATCTCAAGTGCATTGCTTATTTGTTTAATGATTTAAAATTAGATATTGGCATCATATGAAATATTAATTAAAACCAGGTCAAAAAATCACTGCATTGATTTAAAATTGTCAGTCGCCAAAAAGTTGCACCGACTTATAAGCGGGTCAATGGCAAATCCCTTCAAAATTACAACAAAAAATACAACCGACTTATAGGCGGACCGACTTATAGGCGAGTATATACGGTACTTTTCATCATAAAATTAGTAGATCTCAACATCATTAATAAAAATGTCATTAGTAATAAATGATATTTGCAAAATTCCATAATTTTCAGACTTAT